ACACACAAGATCAATTGATTATATCTTGGACCATCTTCATTGAAGGCACAACGAAAGAGAAAGCATGATGGCCAGACATGCTTTTATAATACTCTACTATGGTGATAGCTAACCCAGTTCTGTGTTAAAAGCATTAATTCACTCATGGGGCTCTTCCCTCAGGACTTCTCCTTATCAAGTCTCCCTCTCAACACTATTCCACTCTCATTTTCCAGCACATAAATTTGGGGACACATTCAAATTGTAGCAATAATACAGGCATTTTAATAAATCTATCACTGAATTTCAGCTGTTTAGCAAAGCTTAATTTCTTTAGTTCTTGGTATTGGAAGCAGAGGGAGCTACTTCTCTCTTACTTTGTACCATCTGCCATGTGAAGACACAGTAAGAAAGCCCTCGCCAGGTGACAGCATCACGTTCTTGGACATTCCAGTCTCCAGAAATGTGAACTAAATAAACTTCTCTTTATAAATTACATATTACTTGAAATTCTGTTGTAGCAACAGAAAATACTAAGACATTTATTTAGACTTTCTAAGCCTCAATTTTCCTGTCCTAAGTGTTTCATAGGTAAACTTATTTCATTAAATTTTTCTCTTACTTACCCAGTTACTATACATATATAGAAATAAAAATATATAATATTTTATGTTGAAAGAAGGAATTCTTCTGCCAAGCCACAAAGAAATCAAAACATCAAATAATAATGTTCATCCTAATACATATTACAGTAAGTTATATTAAAAGTAAAGGGCCGGATGAGTTACTCGAGTGACAGAGCGCCTGCCTAGCAAGTGTGAGGCCCAGAGTTCAAACCCTAGTACCACAAAAAAATAAAAGTAAAGAAAAAAATGAAACAATTTATTAAAATACATAAAGGAGAGGATAAATGGCCTTCAAAGTAGGAAATTCACCTAAGAAAAGGAAATAAGAAAATAATATCTAAAAGAAAAATCTCTTAGGATAATTACATTCATATATCAAGTTAGTGGATGAATTTCTGGCTCTGGCTTTTTATCTTTGTCTTTTATTTATGATACAATTAAATGCCCTCTATCTTCAAATTTAAGGGAAATTATAAGGAGAATTCCAAATAAGTTATTTGGTGCTCATGAGCCAAACAAAAGATGCTTTTTCTCCCTTTACTTTGGGCACTCAGTCACACCATCTGACTAGATATTTTCCTATTCATATTCCAGAAGATTCTCTCCCAACTTGGTGTTTGATAGTCTGCTCAATTCACTGTAAAAAGAAACCAGGATAACAATGTCTAGTGATTTTTTAGTATATATTAATATCAATCTCTAAAAAGACAATCTGTTATCCCTATCAAAATCATAACATTTTAAGATATCCTATAGAGATCCACAATTTATAGTATTTGCAATCTTCAAACTTATGTCATATGTTCCTCAAATTACTGCTGTGTCAAGAATGAAATACACAACTCCAGTAGAAAGATTACTTTTTAAGGCCAGGCATAAGAACATGGGCTTGTCAGGGTTTACTAATCTACAGCATAAACTGAACTAACAGGGTTTACTAATCTACAGCATAAACTGAAGTAACAATTTCCTCATATGGAAAATAAATTAAACAAACTATCTTAAGAGGGTTATTTTGCACACTAAATGATTTAATTTATGCAGTTGCTCTTAGCATCTTAGTTACAGAGAGTAAACCTCAGGTGATACAACAATGAAGGTAATGTTGAAGGAAGAAAAAGGACAAATAGAGAAGCCATTTTTCTCCAATTGTTTCTTAGAAAATTATCACCCAGTTTAAAATGTGCCCAAGTTTTGTTCCTACCTTAAAGATATTTACAATATGCCAAACTACAGTTAACAAAATTCAGGACAGATACTCTACTGGACACACAAAGTCCAGTATGGACCATTTAGTTATTAATCAATGGTAATGTCTAAAAGGAAGTGGCAGAGGAGTGAAAAGTTACTGGTGGTAAGGAGGCTGGTTCCCGACATGTCTCTTTTTATAGGTTGAATAATCAGAACAAGTCACTTATCTTCTCTGGGTTACTTGCTCTAAATCCCCCAAACTGGGGAAGGGACTAGAAGATTCCTAAGAACTTCAAGAGAATCAGCATTTGAACTACTGAAGAAGAAAAAGGAACAGAGAGCTGTGTGAATGCCACTGTAGTATATAAATGGGACATTTAGTGTCCTGGCTTAGTAAAGTCTGAAGTGACCCAAAGGTAGTCAGACTCCACAGGTACCTACATCTGTCACCACTTTCTGTGTTCCATGTGCCCCATCCTCCCCAACCCTCCTTTTAGCTCTCTACCTCACTCCAACCCCTCAATACAAAGCCGTTTTCTAGGAATGAGAATTGGAAGTAACCTCACTGAAATCAAGTAACATAAATATTCATATCATATTCAAAGAAATTGAAGTTTGCTCTTCTCTTTAATAAGAGGGAGAAAGCTTGAGAATTTAAGTGGCAAGGCCATAGTTTTCTGGTTCAAGCAGAACAAAAGAAGTTTATAATGTATACAACCAAAACTAAATTGAAAATGATGAATGACACAAAGAATAAACACAAACTATTTAGAGGCAGACTTGGGTACATAATAGGGATAGTGATCATTCTACTTCAAGGTTATTCATATGTATTTTGATTACACAGATGCATATTTCATATTACACTACTCTAATACATAAGGTAAAAGAGAAAAGACCTTTGCTAAGAGACTGGGAGAGAATTTTAAAAGGAAGAAATAAAATATATTCTGGAGAATATGCAATGGTGAGAACATCTCTCTAATAGAATATATTACTGGGAATGGGGAAAAGATGGGCAGGGTTCAACAATGTTTCTCAGACTCCAGCATGGCCATCTGGGAGCCTATTGAAATGCATATTCTAATCCAGGAGGCAGATGTAGAAGGATTATGATTGGAGGCCAGCCCGGGCAAAGTTAACAGGAAACCTTATCTGAAAAACAATCTTTAAAAAAAAAAAAAAGAGAGAGAGAAAAGTGCATATTCTGAGGACTCCTGAAAAAAGAATATAAAGAGAGTATTAATAGTAGGTCTAGAATTGGTGAGAATGCCACCCCACCCTCAACTTCAGAGGGGGAGACCACAAAGGAAGCAACCACAAAAAAATGTGTGGTTTCAGAGGAAAAGGAGCTTTTCTAGACACGTGGAATATTTTTAATATATAATAATTTGTTAAGAAACAGAGTTTTAAGTTACTTCTTTGTACCGGCAACTTTTAAGTTATATACTGGAACTCCTTAGAAGGGTCCCAAAATCAATTTAGTGCGACCAGGATCCAGCAACCTTCCAAAATGATAAAAGGAAAAGAGGAGAAGCACCCAATAAATGTTCTCCGGGCCTTTTAGAAAACATGGAGTTGCTTGGCTGCATACCTATGAATCTACAGAAAAGATGATATTGTAGACATCTAGGCAATGAGAACTTTTCAAAAGAAATGAGTGGGGCTGGCATATCGGCTCAAGTGGTAGAACCTATGTCTAGCAAGCATGACACCCTGAATTCAAACCCAAGAACTGCTCCCCGCCAAAAAAAAATTCACTCAAAAAGGAATGGCCCACAAACATTACCAGGGAAAACATGGAATAGCCTACAATGTTACCAAGAGTTCTGTCTACATTACTGCAAACAAACAAGTTAAGGCCAATGTTCTTGCCAAGATAACTAATGTGTATACTGAGCTTACAAAGCACTTTAATAGCCAAGACAGCTTCCTGAAATATGTGAAGGAAAATGATCAGAAACTGAAAGAAGCCAAAAAGACAGGTACCAGGATTGAAGTGAAGTGCCAGAGAAGCACTGTAAGAACCAATGGAAAGGAGCCCGAGTGACTGGGACTTATTCTGTATGAATTTGTAGCACAATAGGTATAGAAAAAATAAAAGATCTCTGAAATGTTTCTCTTAATTGAGTAAAAGTGTAATATCCTCTTCTACAAATAAATATTTAAAGGAAATTTTGAGTCCTAAATGAAATCAAAAAACAAAGAGAGAATGCAGCAGACTGTTTCACACATAACAGGTTGGTGTTGCTTATGAAGTGTGTGTGTGTGTGTGTGTGTGTGTGTGTGTATGTGTGTGAGACAGAGAGAGAGAGAGAGAGAGAGAATAAATGAATATGTTGTATGTGTTGGGAAATGATGTAAGATGTATGTCCTACTATGGATCACATTTACAGACGTCTAAAAGCCACTGGCTTAATACAGAATCCTCCATGTCAGATCTTCAACAACAAATCTTGGATGAACCACAAGAAGCTCTGTAGAGAGATCACCAGACCTCATAGTAACAGACTCATCTCTTGGAACAATTTTTGAGACCTATTTAATTCAGAAGGGAAAAAAAAAATAGTCATAGCTTTCAGAGATTTTGAATCCTGCCACTTAACTGAATATTTTTCCTTGAGTCTTTGGAATTTTCTAGATTTTTATGTCATCTGTAAACATAGATGACATATTTCTTTCCAATCTGAATGTCTTTTATTTCTTTTTCTTGACAAAGTACTTTAAGCTATAGGAGCAGAAAATGAAATGGTAGCTGCTAGAGCTAAGGGGGAGATGGAGAGTTATTAGTCAAAGGGTACAAAGTTTGCTAAAATCTGTCCTACTGATTGAATGTAAAGTATAGTGCCTATAGTTAACCCATACTGCATTGCATACTTCAATTTTTTATAAGAGGGTAGACCTTAAGTATTCTTATCATGAAAATTGTAAGTTAAAAAGCACAATGACATTTTTTGAGGTGATGGATAGGTTTCTGGCATAGATAGTGATGATGGTTTCAAGGGTATATACTCATCTTTAAATTCCATGCTATAAACATCAATTATGTACTGCTTTTAGTATGTCAGAAAATTAAATTAAAAAGAATGTTGGAGAATTTGTTTTTAATCATAAAGACAGTAATGACTAACTTCATATTAATGTAAAAAAATTATATTTGGAATGTTTTGTTCCCACCATTTCAGAAGCCTGTGCAAGCCTTACCTGATAGCGTCTTTTGGTAAGAAATAAATTGATGTCGCCATAAAGAAATGGCAGATCTCTCTCGATTCTGCAGTCCATTTAGTCTTTCCGCTAGGCCGCCTCTGTTTAATGAATTATAAGGTATATAGTTTTAGTTAAAAGAAAAGCTTCAAAGTAGTTAGAACATTTATATGTTATGCTCTAAAAGCAGATACAGATAAAACACAAAATTTTAGCATATTTTTGATAATTACATTCTTTTCTTAGGGGCCATATTCGTAGGTCAGATTTTAGTTTTCTTATAATCTCAATTTTCTGATTTGTATAAATATGGACTAATATTACTGAAAAGTAATATTCTTAGAAATGTGACAGCTAAAGTACCATTTTAACTGTTTTTCTTTATTAGTTCATTTATTCATTCCATGAGCACATACTGCTTAACTTGCTTCTTGCTGTATCCTGGTGCTTAGTACTTTATTAGGTATCAGGGACACAGAAGAAGCTAATGTGCCATGCCATGAGGCTGGGGAGAGACTCCTCATGAGCTGTGAAGATGGAAGACAACAAATAAATCTAAAGTGGATTCAGAGTTCCAGTCAAGAATAACCTTAACAAAGTGCTGATATGTACAACACTCAAGTAAGAGCACTTTGGTATAAATCCCTCATTTGGATTCTAAGCATCAATTACAAACACAGGATATACATCTTGTGTCCTCCCTATATTCCAGTTCTGTCATAGTCTACCTGATCCCTGGACAGACACCCCTCCACACTGTCCTTGCTACCCTCAGAGGCCTTATCTCCTGGCCGCCATTCCTGTTGATTACAGTCCTTCTATCTCCCCATTCTTTGAATGTCTCTCCTCTAAGATTGTCTTCCACTGTCCTTAGCCAGCCACCCCCACAGTCATTCTCTAAATCTTAAAGTTACAAACTGCCTCCCTTCATTAACTCAGTCTAAGCACCCATCACCCTCTAGCTGTCCAACCCTAAGACCTCTTCACAATCTATTGGTCCTACTCAACTCACTGTACTCCATCCACATCCTGCATATGCTCATTCCCTACATACTCAGCTTAGACTTCACAGCCACTATCACAACTGTTCTCCAGAAACTTCTGTCTATCCTTGAGCCTGTCACTAGGCAACCCCCCATTCTGCCTGCTGTGTACCTGCAGCCCCAAAGTAGAGCCCACCCAGTAGGTTGGTCTCAAACTCAATTTATGACTATTGCTTCCAACAGGACCTCATCTGTCAGACAACCCTGGAGCACTTCCCCAGGCCATTCATTCTCATGGTATAACTGTCATATACTCTCTCTTCTTACCTTCATGCTTCCCTCCTCATCCTATCTAAACTGATAAAACACTTCCTACTTCACTGAAACAGAACGGATTTGTTCCCAAGCCACACGTATCTGCCAGTACCTACACAGGCTCCACCCTCCCACCTGTTCAGAGATGAACTCCCTATGCTTGTGGCCAGGTACACACCATACCTGCATGATCTCTGCCCTTCTCTTGTCCATGATGGACATTCTGAACTGCTGATCAGGTCACTGCTGCTTGTGACCTTCCTTAAGCCCAGCAGGGACAACACCTGCCTCAGCAGTTTCTCCTCTCCTGAACCTTTATTATCAAAAATACAATTAAATGCCTGAACAAATTTGCACTGGCTCTCACTATGTAGCCCAGCTGGCCTTGAACTCATGATCCTCTTGCCTCTGTCTTTCTAATGCTGGGATTATAGCCATGCACCACCAGACCAGGCCTCTAATCTCGTTAGTGGACTTCTTTTTCTTTCTCCTCACAGACTATTACACATAATCACCATTCTAATTTGAGGCCACGACTTCCTACTTTGGGCATTGTTGGGACTCAGCTTCATGTAACTACAGCCATCTGAGTCATAACCACCACGACTGCCCCTGAGTGATGTAGATGGGATCCCCCTGCACCATTTTCCAGCATACTATAAGTGAACAAAATCATGAGAGTGGTATGTGGAGCTTTATGACTAGACCCTGACACCACTAAGTGCCAGGAATGTGACTGGTCTTCAATATTAGCTGGAGAAAAATCAGGTCCACTCTGGCCTGGATGAAGTCACTTTTGTTCTGACCTCTTTATAAACCCTCTTCCTCTGACCCACTTTACAGGGACATATACTGGTCTTGTTTCTGTCTACAATAATACTTCTGTCACTGAGTTCCAAATAAATTGCATTCCGCACAATTCTAGATCTGCCTTTTTTTGGGTCTTGTGACACCTTGGAACTGGTTCTTATACACTGGGACTGAAGTTTTTTCTAGAATGAATATACAATGTTGTGTGTTCTTTTATGAAAACAAAATATGGGGAACAGACATGAATTTTCTTATCATGCTACATTCATCCCATCAGACTATAACATAGTCTTACGCTCTTCCCGTCACTGTTATGCTCAAGACAGGCTTCGGTCCTCCATCCTTCTCTCCCTGATTTCCTTTACAGACATCAATGAGCCATTATTCCATGCTTTCTCTCCCATTCTCTGCAACCTCTCCAGGAGGTGGCTCTCTCTTAGAACACAAGCAGCTAGTCCTCCCTACCCCAGCCACACACAGCCAAGAGTCAAGGTACTGGCCCCACCCTTTGCATCCTGTGCTCCTTTAACCACCAGCTTTCCCTGTGTACGTCTTAACACTCCCCCCCACCCTTGATGGGGAGATAACATCAATCGATCCACTCTGATCTTCAAGCTCATGAGTGCTTTCTACTGAAACTTAGTTTCTGATGAAGTGTCTGCTACTTTTGTTTTTCTGGAATTGCTAGCCACAGGTGTTTTTGGGGTTTTGGGGGGGAGGGTGGCGGAGCAAGCATTGTTTTGTTCAACCCTGTATGACACAGGGTTGGGACAGGTCCCACTAAGCTCCTTCACAAATCCTACTTGATCCACCAAGGCCAGTCCCTGACTGACACTCTAGTGACAGGGACGTTCATCCACTGTGGCCATCTAACTACAAGCACACAACCAACTGTTTCTTGTCCCTTAGTCTTGGCTCGCTTATACTCTCCCACATTTTCAAGTGTCCCCTGGCTAATTTCTCGCACCATACTCACAAAAGTAATCTGACAGTAATTTCTGTTTCTTTCTTTATAACTTTCTCCAGAACAGAAGAGTGATTCACTATTGTCTAAGAAAATACCTGGAACACTGATGAATAATAAAATTCAGTAACCCAAATAACAAATCTCCATTAAGGAAAGCAGTCATGTAAGCTGGTCATAACTAAATCCAAGAATGCTCCTTAGATGGACATGTTCATACATTAGTTCCAGAACTTTTAATAATTGCTTATCAGGATTACATTTCTATTCTAACAACTTTCCTTCCACAATAAACAATTATTTTAAAATTAACATTTCAGATATTTGAGTTTTTAGACAAAAACTGGGAAAATATTTTAAAAATATAATTTAACCTTAAAAGCTTCTTATATTTTGCTGAATTTTCTGGGGTCCTGGGAAACTTGGATGTCGGTTTCTGGGGTGTATACAAGATGGGCTCTGTTGATTTCACCCTTGAGTTGATCAGTTTGTCCATAACCTGTCTTGCATCTGATCCAAAATCCATATGGTATTTGTGAGGGGATTCTGAATCAATGAAGAAGACATTCTCCGAGTTATCTTCTTTGTCACTATCTGATGAATACTCCAAAATTTCTGTAGAAATTGGCTAAGAAAATTAAGAGAGATGTAATTAAGTATTCTTTATTCAAGCCTGTGGGTATAAATGTATAGCATCCTATTCCCTTACGATTATATTCCTTAAAACAGCTCTTAAATACAGTAACTGTGGACTAGGACTCTGTTGAACATAAAAATCTAACACACCACTTGGGGAAGTAAGTCCTCCCCAGCACTATCCCAGCCTTGGTCGTACCCCTATAGGCTACTTTAAAGAATGACTGAACTGCCCCATGCTTTTGTTTCCTCATCTTCAAACTGGAGATGCAGCAACACCCACAGTATTAAGTACTTAGTAAATGGCAGTTATTCTTATTAGCTCCTAGGATAGTTTAAACATATAATTTGCTTTTATATTTTATATTTTTTTACTTTATTTTTCTGTAAAGATTGTTTTTTTAGATTTCTGTGAGAAATTCAATGAGAAACACAATACTTACTGTCTTCAGCAGACAATCAAAATGACATTGTCTTAACCAGCTAATTAAATCATGTATTCTTTCTGTAGTCATTTTTAACAGAACCAAGGCATAATGAACATTTTTGGGAAAAGACAATTAGAATCCAACTTCTTTCAAGCCCATGATCCTGGATGAAGATGGAGGACTTCTCCTTGGATGGACACAGACAGGACCTATAGGCTCATGTGGCATCAGCTGTCTTGGCCTAAAGCTGACTGTAAAGAACATGCTCTTTCAAAAAGGATGGTGTATACAAAAATGTGTGTGTGCTGGGGAGGATGGAAGGGAGCGGGAATAGTGAAAGATAAGTCAAAGGTATCTACAGGTTCATAAGTTCAAGATGACATTTATCCCTATAAGGGATGAAGTGTGCTTGTGTATTTCCATGTATATTCTACTTAATATACTGTAGAATTAGATTAATGGAAAACAAAGAGCTATGAGTTATAGAATGAGAAACACTCATTTTTGAACACAGCCGGTTGACTCCCTCATTCCTCAGTTTAATCATCCAAAATTGGAAAATTGTTCAAGAAATATTTCTATTTATTATGAAATATTTAAAGCAAACAGAAATATAGAAAAAACATATAACAAGTCCAGTACCCATCACCCTTTGTCATATCTTAAGATGAAGCAAAATTTCCTTCAGAGTGTTTTTATATGGTGCAGTTGAAATTTCCTGCCTTTCTCTTCCTGTGCTTGTCCTCCTCCTTCTTAGAAGTAACTCTCTTCTGGCTTTTGTATTTAACATCTCATTTTGATTTTTTAAAATCACACACAGAGTATTATTTTTTAAGGACAAGGCAGCTATGGATCATTCATCTTCTTTGCTACTAGTATTCCAGGGTCTAAGTACACCACTTTTTATTTACCTATTTCAGTGTTGGTAGACACAGGATTTTACAATTTTTTACATTTCAACAGTATTGCAGCACGTGGGTAATGTACTTGCTTTACTGGGCTCATACATGCTGGCTTCTCTGAAGTTTATACCAACCCAGTGGTGATCCATTCATCTCAAGTTAACCACCGTACTGAATGATACATTCATTAGTGTTTTTAAAGGTGAAACACAGTCTGCATCACTGAGTATTTTTAGACTATAAATTTCTGGTTATGGTAGTTAAACAAAAGTATTATGCAACCATTAAGAAGAATGGTTAAGACCCGTAAGTCTTGAAAGGACAAATGTATCCTTTCATTGCTTTCATATAGCCATGCATATATAGTTAGACTTTATGGATGCAAAACAAAGAAGTACAGAGGAATACACATACACATGCTCTTATCTACACAGAATATTCTTTTTTTAAATTGTTTATACATTTATTCATATGTACATACATTGTTGGGGCCATCTCTTCCCCCTGCCCTTCCCTCCCTCTCCCGCCCCTTGCTTCCAGGCAGAACCTGTTCTGCTCTCTCCTCTGATTTTGTTGAAGAGAAAACATAAGAGATAATAAGAAAGACATAGCGTTTTTGCTAGTTTGAGATAAGGATAGCTACACAGAAAGATTCCTAACATTGCTTCCATGCACATGTGTATTACAACCTGACCTTGTTCATCTCTACCTGACCTCTTCACTACTTCCTGGTCACCTTCCCATAGTGGCCTCTGCCAGTTTAAGATTACTATATTCACTCCTCTACAGTGGGCACATCGAACACTTTTAAGTTTCAGGTTTCCTTCCCTTTCCCTATTCCTAATGTATGTGTGTACAATTACACCCTTAGTGTGCAACCATGTCCAATAATATTACTGCACTTGTTTTAGATCTAAAGTCCATATATGAGGGAGAACACACAACTTTTTGCCTTCTGAGCCTGGCTAACTTCACTTAAGATGATGTTCTCCAGTTCCATCCATTTACTTGAGAATGATAAGATTTCATTCTTCTTTGTGGCTGAGTTAAATTCCATCGTGTATTAATACCACATTTTCTTAATCCATTTGTTGGTAGTGGGTCATCTTGTTTGTTTCCATAACTTGGCTATTGTGAATAGCACTGCACTAAACATGGGTGTGCAAGTGCCTCTGGAGTAACCTGAGTCACATTCCTTTGTGTATATCCCCAGGAGTGGGATTACTGGATCATATAGCAGATCTATGTTTATTTTTTTTAAGAAGCCTCCATATTGTTTTCCAAAGTGGTTGTACTAGCTTACATTCCCACCAGCAGTGTGTGAAGGTATCTTTTCCCCCACATCCTCACCAACATTTGGTGTTGATGGTGTTATTGATGTAACAATTCTAACACGAGTGAGGTGGAATCTTAGTGTGGTTTCTTTTATAGCCAGGGATGGTGAGCAGGTTTTCATGTGTTTTTTGGCCATTTGGATTTCTTCCTTTGAAAAAGTTCTATTTATTTCAGTTGCCCACTTCTTTATGGATTCATTGATTTGTGGGGAGTTTAGTTTTTTGAGCTCCCTGTATATTCTGGTTATCAGTCCTTGGTCTGATTTATAGCCAGTGAATATTTTCTCCCACTCTGTGGGTGGTATCTTCAGTTTAGAGACCATTTCTTTTGTTGTGCAGAAGCTTTTTAATTTCATGTAGTCCCATTTGTAGATCCTTTCTCTTAGTTGCTGGGCTGCTGGTTCTACTGAGGAAGTCCTTGCCTATATTTATTGCTTCCAGAGTATTCCCTGCTCTTTCCTGCATTAACTTCACAGTTTTTGGTCTGATATTAAGGTCTTTAATCCACTTTGAGTTGATACTAGTACAGGGTGATAGGCATGGATCTAGCTTCAGTTTTCTGCAGGTATATAACCACTTTTCCCAGCAACATTTGTTAATGAGGCTGTTTATTCTCCATCATATGTTTTTGGTGCCTTTGTCAAAAATAAGGTGGGCATACATCTAGGTTCTCTATTCTGTTCTACTGGTCTTTATACCTGGTTTTTACACAGAATATTCTTGAAGACTACACAAGAAACTGAACTATGGTTACTTCTTGGTACAGAAATGATTATTTTAATCATTCGCCTAACTGAAAAATTTCCACAAATACTCATTAATGTTTTCATTAAAATACTTAAAATTTACTAAATTCAAAGTGAGACACTATAATAGGTACCTTGAGGATCCAGACATCCAGCTTACAAAAAAAGAAAACAAAATGATGAGGAGAAACAAAAAACAGCAGGAAAGACTGATAGGAAGCTAGCTAGTGGGAAAGAAAGGACACATTAGTCCAAGCTAGGTAACTAGGGATATTTGTTCTCATTTCCACTTAAAATGTAACATATGTACATGGAAGCAACGCTAGGAATCTCCCTGTATAGCTATCCTCATCTCAACTAGCAAAAACGCTTTGTCCTTCCTATTATTGTTTATACTCTCTCTTCAACAAAATTAGAGATAAGGGCAGAACAGGTTCTGCTTGGAAGCGAGGGGGTGGGCGGGGGGAGGGAGGAGGTGGGGGAAGAGAGGGAGGGGGTGGGGGGAAAGGGAGGGGGCAGGGGGGTTGGGAGGAGAAATAACCCAAACGTTGTATGCACATATGAATAAATGAAAAAAATAAGAAAAAAATGAAGAGAGCAAGAAAAATGGAGATATTTCTTAAGCCATTAAAATAAACACAAGTATATCAACCATCATGACTTGAGTTCCCAATGGGATATTTTAGCAATGGGTCTAAAATCAATGGCACGTTGAAGGAAGGAATGGTGGGATGGCAGGAGCCCTGAAAACACCAAACTTCTCAAGCTGCACTGCTCTTCAGAGTTGGCCAACCCCTGGGACATTATGGCAAACCTGATAATAGCTACATTTCTCTCTATATTCAAGAGAAGGTAATCAGAAGTGAACTCTTCTGACTATAAATTGTCACTAATTGAAGAAAATATTTAAAACACACCTGTAGGTACTACTACCTGTTCAAATCACACTTTAAGTGTTAAAAAAGAAAGTCTCTTCTTGTCTGCCACGAGCTGAGGCCTTCCTCTTCCACACGTTCCTACTAGCATGATGTTCTGCCCAGGGCCCAGGCCTCATGAACTGAACCACTGAGAATGGAACTCTGCATTACTGCTGTGGTGTGTGTAGCTTCCAACAGCTGATTTAGCTACGCAGGCAAAGGCTCCTGCTTCCAAACTGCCTGAGGCTGCAACATCTAGTAGTGATTGCTACTGGAATAGTCTAATGCACACACTCAGATGAGGATCGTCACGCAATGAAACACAATCGCATCTGTGAGAAGACAAGGTTCCAGATCTGAGCTTCAGGGGAGACACAAAGCTACAGATCATTGGAGGCCATGACCCCATTATTATTATTATTATTTTATTTGTTTGTTTTTAATCCACCTACAAAGACCAGGGGTGGTGTCTCAAACCTGTAATCCTAGCTGCTCATTTAGTAGCGGTCTAAAGGATCTTGTTTCCAGGCCAGCCAGGCAAAAAGTTCGGGAGAACACCATCTTGACTAATGGCTGGGCGTGCCTCTTATCCCAGCTACTGGGGAACCACGAATATAGAAGGATCCTGGTCTAGGCTGCTTGAGCATAAAGCTAAACCCTATTTC